AATGTTTTTATGTTTTTTTAGATGCAGGTTTAACCCATAACTTCAATGGATTCCGATTATAATATTGCGTTTGTTTTTATGAAATTTTAATTCCAATTTATGATATCATAAACTAAACTGTAATTTGCGTTACATCGTAAGATGACGTCGGCTTAAATCGACAATTTATATGGGAGCGCAAATTCCATTCAATAATTGTGTTTTTGGAAATCGGTTTAGCTTTAGACCTGCCGAATTAAATATAACCAAATCTAAACGTTGAAAATGAATGTTCCTCAGTACTTGAAATTATCAGTAGTAAAAGTGTTGACGAAAACAAAAGTATTTTTTTATATAAAACTAGCTGAGCCGGAATACGTCGTTTTGCCATGTATATTATTTCTAGGAAATATTTTTTAGTTAAATAAAAATAACTATCTACTAAAATACAAAATAGGGATTGATTGTAGAGGGGTAAAAATTGGGGGTTGTATGTATGTTTCATAAAAAAGTAAAAACAAAAAAAATTGTCCAAAAAATAAAAAAATATTTTGGGGTGGACACCTTATCACTTAGGGGTATGAAAAATAGATAGTAGCCGATTCTCAGACCTACTGATGTAGGTCTGAGAATCGCATAATATGCATGTAACATTTGATAAAAATCGGTCAAGCCGTTTCGGAGGAGTATGGTAACTTACATTGTGACACGAGAATTTTATATATAAGAAGATATAACAAAAGTTATAGTAAGCATCAAACCACGGGTTTTAGGTTCGGTGCCAAGCGAAAGATTTTTTATTATACAAGAAACAAACAGAAATGTGCCAAACTCCCCTCAGATTATTAGCGCCGGCGCACTCCAAATGACCCACTAATCTTAATATATATATTTCTTCTGTGCGTGTGTATGTGACTGAACTCCTCTCAAACGACTGGACCGATTTTGATGAAATTTTTTGTGTGGATGGTTCAAGGGGATCTGGGAATGGTTTAGATTCACAAATCAGCCCGGCAGATGGCACTGCAGTCGGTACTTTCATACTTTGCTTAATATCCTAATCGCTTTAAATATCATGCAGGACAACGTCTGTGGGGTCCACTAGTATCAATATAAAAATATCACTTTCTTGGTTAATGTTTTACTTAGAAATAGTTAGGAATTGAATATACCAAAATTAGTTATGGAAAAATGGCGATAATTTAACACGCCGGTTCGCCGTTGTATCCCCAGGCTGTTGCGTTCAACCGATATCCTGGCGCGATCAAGAAAAAATTAATATCGATAATAATCAGATTTACATCATTATGACCGCTAAAGGGTCAATGGAGGTTTTACAATTCAATTAGCCTCGCCAGGTGTCGGCAATTTTACCCGAAGAGCAACCAAAGTTTTATTATTAAATGGTTAGTTAGAAATATTCATTCGCTGATAATGGAATATTTGGATTAGATATTTGGAACCCCGCAATATGGCAAATATTTCTGCATCTTTCGCTAACATTATTTCCTTATATCTGAGTCGATTTTTAAGGCTAAAGTTTTCGTACCCTCACAACTTTAGCAAGTGTTTCTAGCGCACATAGTGAAAAAACGCACGCTTAGCCCAAAAGCGAATCCAGATGTCTAAGTACTGGAAAGGGGCTCGCTGTATCACTTACAGATTTGACATTCTTACAAAAGCTGTCTTGAAATTTTACAGTTTCTGTAATAGAATACAGTTTATACGGTCTTATAAAAACCATTGTGTCAGTAATACTAAATTTAATACAATTTAACAGTTCCCTATGAAGTTTGTACATATTATATATGCCAACTCTAAGAATCAAATCGAATGACCAGTTTAATATGAACCGTGTTTCGTATCTTTATATACAATAAACAATCTTACATTGTGTTCTAGGTTACGCCGCTGGCTATTTACCGAACTCTACGTAATGTACCATCTTACTGATGATCTTGTACTTCGATTACAGTAATTACATAATTATAAAGTGGGACTTGCAAACAGGAGTCAATTTTATATATTAAACTAGCGGACCCGACAGCCGTTGTCCTGCATGATATTTCAAGCGATTAGGATATTAAACAAAGTATGAAACTACCGACTGCAGCGCCATCTGCTGGGCTGATTTTTGAATCGAAACCATCCAGGGCTCCACCCAAACGCACAAAAAAATCATTCATATCGGTCCAGCCGTTTAAGAGAAGTTCAGTGACATACAGACGTAAAAAATTATATATCTAGATATCCTATCTTTTAAGTTAGATCAAACTGCACACGGTGTGCAAATTTGATTGAAATCGGTTAAGTAATTTAGGAGTCCATAGCGGACAAACAACGTGACGCGTAATTTATATATATATTAAGATAACAAGGCTATTTCGATAATAAGAGACAAGAGGACCACAAACAAATGATATATAATTATCACTTCTTTTACAACGTTGAAGAGCTTCACAATGTGTTTTATGAACCAACATATGAATATCAAGATAGTAAACTCTACACCCTTCATTCATAAATGCTGTATGCTTAAAATTTGTCAAGAAAGGAAGGTGCGGCTCATGCTCTACTGGCTGGTCGTTCGAAGGCTCCAGTTGTATACATATATTCGGCTGGAATAACTTCCATAGCGCGTTTCATGGTATGACGGTAACCATAGAATGTAGGTGTCGTTACAGATAAAAAGTCGCAATTTAATGCCAACTATTCTCATAAATACGATAATCACATGGAGTCATGTACTTAGGGAGCGTTCAAGTTATACGTCACGCAATTTTTGGAAATTATTGACCCCCCCCCCCATGTAACACGCCGTAACGTTTTTCTGTACCCAAAAGTAAAACGTTTTCTCGACTCTGAATTCTACCTTACAAACTCTCGACTCTGAATTCTACCTTACAAACTCTCGACTCTGAATTCTACCTTACAAACTCTCGACTCTGAATTCTACCTTACAAACTCTCGACTCTGAATTCTACCTTACAAACTCTCGACTCTGAATTCTACCTTACAAACTCTCGACTCTGAATTCTACCTTACAAACTCTCGACTCTGAATTCTACCTTACAAACTCTCGACTCTGAATTCTACCTTATAAACATCGAATCGCTATTGAATGTTTTGTGTGTACTTTTCCAATCACTTTTCGAGTAAATGAAACAAAACATTCTTTCTACATTTTAGAGTTAGGTTAATTAATAAAAAAGATATTGCTTCGTATACAGTAAGAGCTAGAAGCAGTTAGCTAGAGCGGCGAAGTAGGCAATTACTGATAAATTACTGAGAAAAGTATGTTATTACCTATAATTTTGTAGAAACATTATTTTATTGGTATTAAATCCTAAAACTTAACTTTTTAAAACTTAAACAAAATTATAACAAGATTATCACCAAGTCGCACCCCAACAAATTTAATATCAGTCAAGTATAATGAAACACTTTCTTGACAGACACTTGGTTAAATCATTTAATAACGAGGTTTGTCGTTATCACATTGTTAGGGTCGAAAATATTTTTATACAGCCGGCAAACAGGTGCGCATTACTAAGACATTGAGGCCCAAAATTTTCGTAATTAGTCCTCGTACAAAGTAATAATTACGTAAGTAAATGCTACATAACAATGTGAGTGAAAGTGCTAATTAAAAGCCGATTAGACCCTTCGACTTTTAAAAATAGGGGGAATAATTTAACGTTTTATTTGAAACACGGAGACGGTTTGTTAACTTTATAATTAGAAGTCCAACTTGTCGCAAGGAAATTTTCAAGTATATATTATTACAACATAAAATACGCCTGTATCAAATACTTGTATGAAGAATCTTACATCGCACAATGCTAAGAATTTTCATTAATTGACGCACACATTATTAGTTATCGTTTCGTGCTAAGTCTAACTCAATGTAGAGATAATGAAACGCCTAGTTTTAAACGTTTAGAAAGGTATAATGCTAACAAAAGAAATTACTGGTTGTGTTTTAATACTGGCCTTTCCTACTGCAACGCAAACTGTAAACACATCAATAGGTACTAAAAGGGCATAGATTAGATATGTTTTAACTCCATACTTCTCACAGCTGGGAGTTGTTAGTTTTAATACGGTTACATGATATACCTAGTAGGGCACACTTTGCATTAAACACAAAAAGGAAAAATTAATTATATCAGTAATTAGTTCATTCTAGTATCAGAAAAAATTAATCGCTACTAAAATTTAGATCATGTTAGTGACGCATGGGATACACTATATAATTATATATCTTTGATTGAAAACTATCATTATTCATTGCATACAGCCACCAGGCTTACTTTGTACATATATATCTCAACAGAAAATGATCAAGGATCATTTGTACTTTGGATTTATTAACATTTGAAATATGCGACCAATTAAAGTAGCCCCTTTATAGCATATAACAATAATAGGTAAGAAAACTACTTAATAAGATGGCATCTCAAATATTTAGTTCATATATGTCATTTGGCAAAACAGATTATATTAATATAGCCAATATAGTTCAATGAAACAAGTCTATATTTAAACACTTTTGCTCAATGTTTTTCTGTGATAAATTAATATTTTCATATTAATCTAAAAATTACCATTTAATTTAATAGTTTATCTATAAATGCCACTTCAATATTTGTTTTTTATGTGTAAATTATGTAACTTAAGCAAAGCATGTTCTTCTAAAGGGCAAAGCTTCTAAAATTATTCTAAAAACAAAATAATTGCTAAAATTCACAAAAAATTTCAGGTATCACAACCTACTGTAATTAATATTTATTTTAGAGACAATGTGGTTTTAGATACTGATTATTCTATAAGTATTTAGTTTAACCAGAACTGAACTATAAGTACTGGACAGTATTTTGGCAAAAGAAATGTTCCACATTGGTAAGCACTAACGGGGATAACTTACGTCAATAAAAAAAAATATCTATGAAACAGAAACATAAATGTACCAAAATCTGTCAGTGCAAATGAGAGACATAGAATTAATTGCAGTTACTTACCGAAGTATTGTTGCCGGACTTATTGGATTTCAACACATCACTCTCAGAAGCCATTCTATTAAACATTTGTTTTCTTTCTTTTACTGATATTTTTTGCTCACTATCCACAAGCATGCTTTCACTCTGAGAAGAAGTTAGAGTTGGCGTTTCATTCATTTCTATTGTTTCATTATTTGAGATTTGGGGAGTTGTATTAATGTTTCGTGTACTTTTTTCAATTAAACTTTTTTCAGATTTTCTACGAGGATGTACCTTTGGTGGCAAATCTTCTATTAAACTTTCTTGTGATGTATTTTGTGGGGTAACAACAGGTGATTTTTGGTAGGCGGGCTCCTCAACTATAGGGTCATGTGCTGGCAAAATGGATCCTAGCATATTAAAGTCCTGATTAAGTAATGGAAGGGGAGGTCTAGCTGGAGGCTCTTCATGTGTTTCTTCAATACCTTCTTCACTCAATTGAGACACAGGTTCAGCTGCTTTGGTCTCATTTTCATTTTCTTTTGAATGACTTGGAAAATATTTCTTTTTCAGGATCAACCATTTCTCATTATTTTGAGTTTTGATAATAGCCAAAGTATTTACATGCTTTTTAAATGTATTTCTAGCTTCATCTAAAACAATTTATAAAAAATTATACTTTAGTTACAAAATATTTGAGTCATATTAATCCTTATTTTGGTAAGGTTCAAATAGAGAGTTCTAAGTTTGAAATACATTATAAAAATAGTATTATATTGTTATGAAATCACATAAAATTTTAAGTAATAGCATTACTATTTTTTAATAAATATAGAAAGCGCTAAAATGTGATGTGATGTACTAGGAGCTAATATACAATTTATTATATAATATGCCATTTGTTAAAACACTACATATGCCCTTGAATCATTAGGATGTAAGAAAGTCTAAACTCACGTACCTCTCATATTTGGGTTCATTAGAAACACTTTAAAATGTTTTACAAGATCGTGATTTGTAACCTTGCCATTATGTGCCAACATAAATTTTAATATTTCTTCGAAACTTAACTCGGCCGGCGTATTCATTTTTATGATTTATATTAATATCTATACATAAATCACACTTTATAACACCAAAATAACAGTAATACTACTTAAAGATAAACTAAGTTTGTTCAACTTTCCAGCGACAATCAAAACAACGTAACGTTACAAAAACCACATGGTGTCAATTGTCATCATTACTGACAGCCACACCTGCGGGCGGGCTACGTTTCGTTTTACGTTTATTATTTCCATAATTGTACAGTTTTACACTTATTTATACAATTTTAAAGTAAAGATAACTGGAATGAAGAGCCTAATTTTCGATAAAATATGATGTTGCTCCAATATAGTTCCACCATCGCTACAGATCATGTCTCAGGTGTACAGAGATTGAGTTTCTTCATACTTGTGCGTTATATTTAATTCATATTCTATCTTTTGATTTACATATTGTTCAACCCAATAAATATGATTTTATTTGAATGTACGTGTTTGTAATGTGAGTAGAGACTCATACGCTTTTTTATAAATAAATCTTCCTACTTAGTATGTCAGTGAGGATGTGTTTTATAGTTGGGCGCGATTAGTAGATTATCAATAAGTAAATTATATGTTTTTCCTATTCACTAAACAATTATTGATGACTATGTGATAAGAGTTCTACCATTTATGGTTTAAAATATGAACAACGGACAACGGACTCCCCGGACAATTCAAGACCTTATCGGCTATAGACCCGATGATTCTGGAAAAAGTAATTGAAAATTGTTATGTTCGGATGTTGGCCTGTAAACGAAGCCGCGTTGGTCACATGAGAGATATTATTTTTCATATATAAATGGCATAAACCAACCTTCATTTATCAATAAAAAAATCGATTTTACCTCATAAAAAGTCGGGACATTTATAAGTTTAATTTCATAAACTATATTTTTGTTAACTAAACGCGATGTAATGCGCTATATGCTGTATAAATCATTGCGGACTACATAGGTATGTTTAGCTCTATCGAAACGAACAACAAGTCCATTATACCGAAATGCATAACATAGTTAAACACTTAGCGAATGAAGTTGTGAACCTAACAAGCGTCCAATTAAAAGTTAAATGTCTAATTCTTGTTAAAGTTGAAGTCCACAACGTGGATCAAAAGTTTCTGCTCATAGGTAAGACGGGTCCTGAAAGTTTGCTAATAAGAAACTAATCGGTTCGCTTCCTGAAACAGCCGAAACACATCGTTACCGCAACTACGGTTTGGTAGTTTCACAAAGAGACGTTAACATAATCGTTGTATAGCAAAAAAATTGTTTTCTCAAGTTTATTTTTAATTTGAGAATAAAACATAAATTTAGAAATGATTAATAACAATCAAATGCGTAATTAATAAATGATTAATAGGCATTTACAAGTGCTTCAGTGTTCCAAACGTTCCTACAAACTTAGCTCTTAGGATAAATTTGGGTAAGGTAACGTTTAAAGTAAGTAGTTCTGAGCCTGTTCCGTAAAAATGTTTGCTAATAGAGGTGAAACGTTTGTTTTCTTTATTTATTCATTATTTTTTATTTAGGAGGAGTGAGATAGTTGGTGTTAGGTGTGGGCCTCAGATTTTTGTATCTATTTCCAGTGTCTGGCTCAAGCCGTAGACTTTTTGGATCTAGGGCAAGCCGGTTTCCTCACGATGGTTTCCTTCACCGTTCAAGCGAATGTTAAATGCGCACATAGACATAAATTCCATTAGTTTCCATACTAATGAGGATATTCTAATCATTCTTCCAAATAAAGCAACAAAAAACAATTTACACGTAATCATTCGTGTTAGCGTAGTGGTTAAGCGTGAGGTTTTCAAAGAGATCGTTCGTTTCCCATTCACAAATAGGTTTTCCTCTACATTTGTGCTCAATAAATCCTAGAAACAAAAATCAACGAATATCTCCGATACGAAAAGCCGATCACTTGTTAAAGAAAAAATATTATCTATTAATATCAAACTAATTATTGTAAGTTCAAGAAAAATCTTTTAGTCGTAATCTTTAACAATACAAGGTGCACAGAGTCAACCATATTCTGAAATGAAAAGATAAAATAGAAAATGACAGTTCGCGTCGACAAATTTTTATACAAATTTAATTTTCGACTTTCTACATACATTGCTGTTAAGGCATCTTGACTAAACCCTCAGCACCATAGACCATAGCGCACAGATTACTTGAAAAACCGGATATCTTAATATTAGTTCCACAGAATAAATGGATATTTCAAATAAATAACATATCATTCATTTAAATACTTATAATAGTTCTAAGTAGGAAATTTTTACGCACATTTTTTGTTATTTATGTGGAGCAAAGAAATTATCTAAAATCGTTATTAATAGGTACGTACTGTACTTTGAAATAAGTATGTTTTTGTCGAACAAAACATGGTAAAGTGAAATAAAAACATCTTTGGCGCTACAACCTTTTTAGGTCTGGGCCTCAGATTTCTGAATCTGTTTCAAGATCATTTGACAATCTAATAGTAGGTGATCAGCCTCCTGTGCTTGACACACGCCGTCGACTCTTTGGGTCTAAGACATGCCTTACACCGTTCGAGCGATTGTAAAATGCGCACATAGAAAGAGAGTCCTTTGGTGCACAGCCCGGGATCGAATCTACTAACTCGGGATGAGAGTCGCATGCTAAAGCCACATGGCCAACACTGCTGGGTATACTTTAACCTTTAATTACCCCATATTTAAGATATTTTTTTTTATTGGAGGAATATTGAACCTAAAGCTTACCTTCTATTACTCTGGCAGGTACAGCCTACTTGCCTATTAGAAATATCACGAAACAGATACAGATATCTGAAAACTTTAAAATGCGCACTAATTTTTAATTAATTACAGCATAATTTGGAGTATTAACATCGTTTGTTTACCCCCACCAAAGCACATGCTTCAAGTTTTATTAAATATTTGTGTACGACAATACGATATTGTAGTCATCACAAACAGAGAATAATATCAGGATGAAATTACTTTTCTAACTTTGAATTTGTTCCTTTTGGAGTATAGAGTCATGGGGTTCATGTGCGCAGGCGCTAATTAAAGGTTTAAATTGGTGCCTGGGCAGTACCGGCGATCACAGAACTTTCTTCTCGTATCGCAATTAAGCGAGGAAATGCCAGCATTAATCTCTGTGGCAGTGGACCAAACTTTGGTAAAATTTGTTTTAATTTTCTATTTATCAATGGCTTATTATTATTATTACAATGTAGGTTAAGACTATTGTTAATACTGCATACTTCATAGTAAATTAAATCTTTCATATTTGTAAACTACTTCACGAATTCACGTTTTCCCTTAATTTTTGACGTCTGTTGGTGAATAAGTTACTCATGTAATAAGTTGTCTATACAAATATGGCTTTGAGCCACTTCTAACAGTTTGAAAGAATATTTCATGTTTTTGATAGCTCAAAACATTTGTGTAGTACGAATTACTCCCCTTAGTTCTAAAAGATTGCAGCGCTACAGACGATGTCATCTCGAATCATTAAAAAAAATAATAAGAATAGATTATCTTAATAATATTAAAAAATGTCTTTTGAAAGGGATGACATAAAATTACGCTCATTACCAATTCATTTAATGAACATGGAATAAATTTGTATTATCAAAGTTACCTACTCAATTTAACATTAGGTACTGAGGGGAACCCCGGACCATATTAACCGGAATTAATTAATTTTTTATACGTTCAATACAAAATACTAATTAGTTATTGATTAGCTCAGAATTTATTCATATATTTAGTTACTTATAATTAAATTTACGTAATACAACTTATTTCTAAACCTATTTGGATTACGAAAATATATCAATCAGTGGCAACCTCTTTAGGTCTTGGCCTCAGATTTTTGAATCTGTTTCATGATCATTTTTAAATCTAATAGGCAAGTAGGTGATCAACCTCCAGTGCCTGGCACACGCCATCGACTTTTTGGGTCTAAGACATGTCGGTTTCCTCACGAATTCACGATATTTCCTTCACCGTTCGAGCGAATGTTAAATGCGCACACAGAAAGAAAGTCCATTGGTGCATGGCCGGGGACCGAACCTGCGACCTCAGGTGTGAGAGTCGCACGCTGAAGCCACTAGGCCAACACTGCCGCTTACGAAAATAATATAACTTATTATACAAAAAACAAATTTTCTATATATTAACAAGTACAAAAATCTCAAAAACTACTGGGCCAATTTCATACATCCTTTCACCATTAGGATTTTATATTATATCTGATGAGCGTACGCTATAAATTTTGAAAAATGTAAGGGATTGTTATGAAAACTTCGATAATGTCATAAAGTGTACTACAGTTTTATAGAAGAGATAGGGGAAAAAAGAATTTAAAAGTTCCTATACAGAAGAAGGCTGCACATACCTAGAACATCAAGCTATGACCAAATTAATGCAAGTGGCACCACAGATCACAGGTAATTCATTGAAATGGATCACGTGTGTGTTAGGTATATACTATAACAAGCTTTTTGAGAAATTTCAAACAATATGTATTACTGCTTGACTATTGATTATAGAAAAATTCTCTACTGTTTTAAAAGCTTCAACATCTTTCCCACATAGCTTTTATCTATCGTCATCATTCTTCAGCCTTTATGGTTGTTGAAATTTGGTATGAAAGGTTCAAAAATCGACTCGCCAAATGCAATAAGTATAAGTTGTCTGCTAGTTCTTTGCGTTGTTTTCAATTATCGTTAAAACGGAGACAGCAACTCGAACACACGACCTCGGCTGGCTTGGCTTGGCTGAGGATGTACTACCACTAAGAAATGTGATAATGATATTATGATGTTTGATTCATATTGAATATTTATTTCTTAATAACGCTTTATAAAGAGATTATGAAAATTTTTTGAAACACATAGTTATTTAAAATCATTGGAAAATTGTCAGTTGTGTTCATGGAAAGATTTCAAGAACTTTCTCAGAAACTTTCGTTATGACATTCTAGAAGTTGCCTTTGATTTTATTGCGGTATTGAAAAGCTCCTGATGAACCTTCATCATGTTGATGAAGACGGTGATGGTCATACGTTGGTGAGCGATTAGCGGAGGTACGGCCATGTTGCGGCCGCTGACGGCGGGAAATCGCTGCCGCCCATGGGAGGCGTGAGGCACCAAACCGATAGAGAGGGACAGAGTGATGCGCATCAGAGAGGCTAGAGAGGGAGGGACGCGAGGCGGCGCGACGCAGAGGGCGTTTTGCCTTGCAGAGACCACGCACTCCTGTTCCGGTCGCGTCGACGGGCGGCCGGAATCCCGCACCTCGCTACACTGATTCCGTACTAACATCTACAACTTTTATACGCTTGTGAATGCGCGCACTAAGCAGCGGGCACGTGAGAAGCCCGCTCAACGTTTTTCTCGCTCACACCCAGTGACAATTGTGTCGCGAACTGTTTCCCGCCAATTTCGGTGAAAAGTTTTTGGCGCGAAAGCCCACGGACCGAGTGAGGATGGCTCGTCAGTGAAGATTGAGGTGTGTTTTGGCTTGTTTGGCCGATTTGACATAATGGATGACTGGGAGAGACACGTGACCCCCCTTCTGCAGGACATGGGGTGTTCCAATGAGGAGGCTCAAGATGACTTCTTTCATCAGCAAGATGTAAGTGCAACCTTTGTGATTTGCCATATTTATATCTTTCAATTCAATAAAATATAATTTAATAAAATTATTTAAACAAATTGAAACAACAACCTCTTACCAGTTTCTAATAGATTTCGTAATTATTAATTAAGTCATTATTAATAGTGAAACTTAGTTTTTAATAAATCATAATATGTTATCAATTAGTCTTTAACTTTTGACAAACAACAAAAACGTCAGTCGATTTAACAACAAACCCCCTTAAAAGCATCAAAATCTTGGCTTTGGTTGGTTTAGCTTGTCTTCCATACGTTGATACACTCTACATAGCATTAAATTAGCCTCAATAACGACAATTAAATTAAATAATAAAAAGTACTTAATAAGTTGCCGAAATTAGTTAAAACTGCGGAACTGTGTACGTTCTTTGTCGCTCGTAAAAAATTCGAATGTCGGCATCAAACGTACCTAGAAATTTCTTAGAAGTATTTTTTTTTTGGTTACAAATTGGGATTCGTAGACTTATCACAAAGATGCCTCGATATTGTACGATATGAATAAAATAAGAAAAAAAAACAACATAATTACTGGTGCAGGGAAAGAAAATAACAGACTATACTATACTATATAGCGTTCAAATAACAATTGTTTTTTATGTAACTACTTACACTAGTCTGAAATAAACTTCTTTTTTTATACAGATTTTTGTTCTTTCCATTTAACGACAAGTCTTTGTAGCGTCAAAATATGCAGTCCTTTGAGTGTCGTTATATAGAGTGTACCCGGTTTATGTAAAACCTCTACATTACTGTAAATACTCTAGGCATTATTGCAAGTGAATTCACATTTATTATTTATATTCACTATATCTTAACTCCAATTAAGGATTTATTAAAAGAATCTGGATAATGATAACTTCAACTCCAAGTTGGGAGTGATTTATTAGTATCGCTCGATCTACAGCCCAAATAAAAGATTTTTAACAGACGATAATATTATTGAATTAACAAATTGTTTTAGAAATGTATAGCCGATGCGATTTCATAATTTTAATTAATTACCGCTGACTTTTGAATACGGATCGATTATTTTTACAGACATCAAAATTGGTTTATTTGGAATATATTCATAAAAGCTAAAACTGCACTTATTTTAACTAAAATTACCTTTATAAGTTGGGCACAACATAATATATTTTCTTAAATTCCTACTTATCGTCTTTATAATTTTAGTTATGGAATTTAAATCAATAAACTATCCTCACTCGATTCAATTGCTGCGTGATATTCATTCATAAGTTAATAACAATAGAGCACATTATTAGCGTGAACTTAAAATAAATCTGGCTTTTTTTTATTCAAAGGCGTTTGTGTTTTGAATGAGCTTATAAGCTAAATAGTAATACACAGAAGGATAAAGACGCAAGGAAGAAGTGGCTATTCGATAACTTCTTCTTTCCTTGCATAATAAAAGACCTGGCTAGTGAAAAATGTGAAATAAAAGTTCAACATGTTATATCTATTTCATGCAATACTAGAACAACCCTGTTACTCAACAAGGGTTAAGACGACGGCTTAATACGAAGAGAATGTTTTGGGATTCCTTTACTTTGTATAGTTACAGTTATTGTTAAATGAATAATTGTATTTAAGAAGTTGTACCAAAATACTGACTGGGATTTTTAACCTATTAAAGTTTAGTACATTTTTGTGACTGTTAGTAATCATTCTAGGCAAGAGATATATTATTTGGTATATTCTGTAATATTCTTTAAGGCCCACTGTGCATTTTTAAACATACAGGATATTTAGATAATTGTATATCGGGGAAAATAAATGAATATATGTTAAAAGGAACGCATTAATGATAAGACTAAGCTTGTTTTATCAATTAATTTCAAATCGATTGAAAAAATAATACAGCGAGGAAATGCCAGCATTAAAGGTACACTGCCACAGGGACCAAACTTTTACATTGTATTATTATTTTATACTTCATTTTTTTAAGAATTAAGAAGCCACGTTAACATTACAAGAGAAGAGAAAATTTGAGCAATTTACAGAGTCGAATCATAAATTTCTAAAAGAAAGAGAATGAGAGATACTTAACACAACTCATACGATAATAACGGTCCAAAGGGGTTGTTAAAGTAATAGTAGGGTTAAAATTACTTCTTCAATTTAATGGAAATTCTACATTCAGTCATACGTTAAATTCCCAGGGTTTATAAGGAAATAATGCATTGGAAATCAATCATAAACAATTTTCTTACAGACCGCTTTTAATATTGTGTTTATAACTATATATACAAATATCTGAAATAATATTAAACCAGATTTTTATTATATGAAATCGAAGATTAATTTCAATGTAGTTATATTTTCTAGATATTTTGTCATAACTTTTACTTTTAATTCTGGTAGACCGGTGACGCTAGAGCTGCCCTGCGATTCTGTAACTCACTTTTCGAACTCACACAGCGGTTTTCGCATCGGCGGTCGCGCTCAAATCAGTCGTGAAGCAGTCATTTTATGATTTGGAATTCAGATAAACAATAAACTACAAGCTCCCACCTTTTCAGAATGCCAAATCATAAAATGACTGCTTCGAAAAGCGAGTTACAGAATCGCAGGGCTGGTGCTTTCCTCGCTCAACATACAAGTATTCAGCGAGAAAATGTTGCCAGCGTCTACCACAGATATTTTTTTTGTGTTATCTTTACAGCTAACTGTTAGCTATTAGTTATTTATTTTTGTTATTAATGTATCATATTTTTCAACTGTTCTTTAAAATTTAGATATATTGTAAGTCAGTTGAATAAAATAATGGGAAGATGTTTCTTGTGATTTCTTGAAATTATGTTAATTTCTTCTGCTGAAATTCTTAAAAAACATGATTTTTGAAACTGAATTTTAATTTTTAATTTTACAATATATAATACATAGTACAACTTATAGTAATTCCGCTATACTTAGAGCCGCTGATGAAGAGTTTTTTAAGCCATCACCATAAAGTCCACACACACCAAACCAAAGACAAAGGTCACTGCACTATCGTTAACGAATAATATTTAAAATTCGCTAAAATAATAAAAAAATAAAGATAATTTATGAGAAAAACTTTCTATAGAATATGATTTTATTAATTGTTTTATTAAATTACTTACTCGTTACCGCTTGTAAACGATATATAAATGTAAATTATATACATACGCTACGATTGCTATATACGAAATATCGATATATGTCAATAAAACATTATTAAAATACTTAAAATAGGGCAATAATTATTTAACAACATTGAATTCAAATAGATTTGATGTGTATGTATAGAATGTATCAAGAAGCACTTTTCATCTCGACGTCTGGCGTCCCACAAGACAGAGCTTTTAAGACACTTTCCGCAACACCACCTCTTTGGGGAACCAGCTGCCAGAGGTATTTCCAAATCGATACGACTGCGGCCTTCAAGAGCAGAGCGTACTACTCCCGGCCGGCCACATAGCCACTAGTCCTCGGCGTTATAGGTTTCCATGGGTGGCGGTTATCACTTTATTTAAAATGTCAAATAAAACCCGCCGCTGCTGCTTCTGTCGCATAAAAAAAGGACTTGAACAACAGTATATTTTTTGAGGTACTGAAAGATGTTGATGTTATACAATGAATATGCTTTGCCTATTATGTATAGCACTTGCCTAGTGGCTGAAGCATCCGGCTCTTACCCTGAGGTCGTTTGAATCATGGCAATCACCAAATTACATTTCCATGAGGATTTAAAACTCACTCGTAGGAAAACATCGTGAGGAAACCGATATGTGACTTAAAAAATTACGTGTGTAAGGCCTCGAAGGCTGATCTTTTAGTTGCCTATTATGAAAAACAGATACAGAAATCGGAGGCCAACTTTAAGGAACGTAGCGCCAATGTACACCAATATATTTCCTCTGGTATTGGTTTCCAATGGAATAGGTTGTTGTAATTTTATTTTTAATATCAAACGTTCTTTTCCTACATTAATTCAATAAAGCGAGAAAGAAAAACCATGCACACTTGAAAACACACAAATAATAACTGGTCAGACTAAAATTAAATTTGATTATTTTCATATAAGACGTGATTTAAATCTGTTCGTAAAAATAACTGTTTACTACAAAATATAAATATGTAGTACTGCATACATTAAATAATTAATATTACACTAATATACAATAATTAAATTCAATCTATTGACTCTATCTCTTCACGGTAGAGTCACTTCTAAAACTGGTAAGAAAAAATTACAAATGAAACCTGTTTTTGAAGCTTTTGCAATTTAATCGTGATTTTAATTTAAATATTCGTTTGCAAAACCTTTGATGTTTATCTATATATATTTTTATTTTAATAATGATGTGGAATTCAACAAAAGAAAGCACGAGTTAGACAGTCGTAAATCTATCTTCGTTTTATTACTCTTTTGAGTGTTTATAATTTTACATTAAACTTTGATGATATGATTCAAAGAAAGCACACCAGTAGCAATTCTGAAATATCAAATTTTATCGAATAATATTCTTAAATTTTCTCATCCATATAATCTTAATATATGATCGCAATTTATTAAGACTATGTACTATATATATTTTGTTTTCCATCTAGGGCTATATGTTCAGTATAATTGTTTTTTGTTGTATATAATTTATGTTAGCTAAAAACTGAATAAACAA